CAAGAAAGAGCAGATTTTCCAGAAAAATAAAAATTATAAATATGCATCACCACCAAACAGACCAGGCCAATAAGAAATTCTGAAAAGAGTCATATATTAGAAGTAAAAAGATCATAACAACCACCATGAAAACATACAGCACAAAATTCACTGAGTACACACACAAAAAGAGAAAGAGAAAAGGAATCCAACTGCTTGATGATGAAACTCTACCAAAACACAAAGAGAGGCAGAAAGAAATGAGGAATATAAAAACAATCAGTAAGCAACCAAAAAAATTACAGGAGTTAGTTCTTACCTATCAGTATTAACCTTGAAGACAAATGGATTAAATTCCCCAGTCAGTAGATAAAGGTTGATCAAATGGATAAAAAAAAAAAAGACCCAACTATATGCTGCCAACAAGAAACTTACTTCACAAGTAAAGATACAGACTGAAATGCAGTCTGTATGTGGACTGAAAAAGTAAAGGGTTGGAAAAATATGATACCATGCACATGGAAACCAAAAATGAGATGCAGTAGCTACATTCCTATCAGATAAAACAGATTTTAAATCAAAACTGGAAAAAGAGACAAAGGACATATCATAGTATTAAGAGAACCAATTCAGCAAGAAGATATAACAACCATAAATATATACACACCTTTAACTACCCACACATATAAAGCAAATATTATTAGATCTAAAGGAAAAAAAAAACCAGACTCCAAAATAATAACAATGGGGAGACTTTAACACCTAAATACAACAGTGAGGGATATAAACTTAATATTGGGGGACTTCATCCAGAAAGAAAATCAACAAAGATACATCAGAGTTGCTCCAATATGGGAAGTAGTCCATACAGTAGATTCATAAAATGACAATCACTTTAAGTAGCACTCTGAACTCAGAATCAGCCCTTAAGGTATTCTGGTCTGGCTGAAAAGCCCACAAGAGCATTTCAGGCATGGAAAGCCAACACACAGTGGCAAAAATGTCCTACATGAATGACCCTATGAGTGAAACACCAATGGAAAGAAGTAGTCATCAAAGAAGTATGTACTTTTCTCAGAAGGGAGGAGAGAACTTTCACTTTGCTTATGGCCTTGTCTAAATACTGATAGAGCTTGTGGACTCAAAAGGCTTCCATAGAGTAGGCAGCTCATGTCAAGAGCCTCAGGTGATTACTGACAACATACATAGGAGTGTTAACTGTTAAATTAACAACAGGAGTCACTGTGCACTAACTTCCCATGCAGAACCTCTGCCCTTAAAGAACTGTATCAGGAGAGCTAGCAGTAAAACTTGTTTTCAAAGAGTTATTTCATTTTACTGTATTAAGAGGAGGATATTCTTAGGTCTCATAAGTTCTAGTTATGCCAAAGAGTCCAACTCTAAAGCTTGTTTTCTTAGGTGCTTCTGTAATTAATGATAAAACATGTTCCCAAAGACTTAGTTTCTTTTAATGTATTAAGTAGAGGATATTCTTATGTCTCATAAGTTACAGTTATGTCTAAGTGCTCACAAAAGATGCATCATTCTTGGGTGCTTCTTTAAAGTTAATTAAGTTTCTAAAAAAAAAAAAAAGTGAAATTAACTTCAGAATGCAATGACTTTCAACAGCCCTTGCTCGACTCTTGAGAAAATCTTTTTTTTTCTTTTTTCTTTTCTTTTCCCTTTTTTAATAGAAATTGTTGAATTCTTTACTTACTATAGACTTAATTTTTGGTGTATAAAGTTGACTGAAAATAGATCTTAGTATAAAATACAACTGGGAACAGGAGAGGGAAGAAGAAGAGGGGTGGGAGTGTGGGTAGGTATGGTGGAAGAATCACTATATTCCTAAAGTTGTACTTATGAAATGAATGAAGTTTGTATTCCTTAAATAAAAATTACTTTGGAAAAAAAATACTGAAAAGGATGGAACTCTGACAAACCCTTTACATGAGGCCATCGTTACTCTGATACCAAAACCAGACAAAAACTAAAAACTACAGAAAAATATCCTTGATGAACATAGATGCAAAAATTTTTAACAAAATATTAGCAAATCAAATCCAATGCTACATCAGAATGATCATGTATCATGATCAAATGAAATTTATCCCAGGAATACAAGGGTAATTTAGCACTCACAGATCATAGATTCCCTTCATAATAAAAACTTTCAACAATTTAGGTACAGAAGGGACATATCTCAGAATAATAAAGGCTATATATCACAAATACATAGTCAATATCATACTGACTAGGGGAAAGCTAAAAATATTTCCCCACAGATCTGGAACAAGACAAGGATATTAACTTTTCCCACTACTATTCAATATATTGCTAGAAGTGTTAGCAATAGGAAATAGCGTAAAAAGAAATAAAGGGTATAGAATTAGGAAAGAATAAGTCAAAATACCTATGTTTGCAGATGACATGATTTTTTACATGGAAAAATCTAGGCAATCTAGCAAACAGTTGTTAAAAGTCACAGTATACAAAACTACATGCGAAAAAAGATAGCACATTTACAGGCCAATAATGCCTTTGCTGAAAGATAAATCAAGAAAGAAATCCCAGGGGCTGCTGTTGTGGTATAGTGGGTAAAGCCACTGCCTGAGATGCTAGCATCTCATATGGGTACCCATTCATGTTTCAGCTGCTCCACTTCCAATCCAGCTCCCTAATGGCCTGGGAAAGACAGTGGAAGTCACTGCCACCCCATAGGAGACCTGGAGGAACTCTGCCTTGGCCATTGCCGCATATTAACGAGTGGATGGAAAACTTCTTCTTTCTCTCTCTCTGTCTTCCTCCACCCCTCTCTCCCTCTCTCGGAACTGACTTTCAAATAAATAAATCTTCACAAAAAAGAAATCCCATTCACAATAGCTACAAAAAAAGTAAATACTTATGAAGAAATTTAACCAAAGATGTGAAAGACCTATACTATAAAAATTATAAAACTTGATAAAAGAAGTCAAGGATACACAAAAAATAGAAAGATATTTCTTGTTCATGGATTGGAATAATTAATAGCATTATAGTGTCGATACCATGTAAACCAGTCTATAGATTCAATGCAATTGCTATCAAAATACCAATGACATTTTCTTTGCATAATTAGAAAAAAAAATCCTAAAATTCATATGGAAACACAAAAAACCTAGGGTAGCCAAAACAATGCTGAGAAAAAAAAATCAAGCTTAAGGCATCACAATACCTGATTTCAAAGCTTACTACAAAGTTACAGTAATTAAAACAGCATAGTGGGGCCAGCACTGTGGTGTACTGCATAAAGCTGCTACCTGCAGTGCCAGCATCCCATATGGGTGCCGGTTCAAGACCTGGCTGCTCCACTTCGGATCCAGTTTTCTGTTATAGCATGAGAAAGCAGAAGATGGCTCAAATGCTTGGGCCCCCGCACCTACATGGAAGACCCAGAAGAAGCTCCTGGCTTCTGGCTTCAGATTGGCTCAGCTCTGACCTTTGTGGCTATTTAAGGAGTAAACCAGCGGATGGAAGATTTCTCTCTCTCTCTCTCTCTACCCATGCCTTTTTGTAACTCTGCCTTTCAAATAAATAAATAAATCTTAAAAAAAGAAAAACAGCACAGCACTGGAATAAAAGCCAACACTTAGATCAATGGAACAGAACAGAGAGCCCAGAAATTAACCCATTACATACAGCAAATTGATTTTTGACAAAGGTACTGAGAACATACATTGGAGAAAGGATAGTGGGAACAGTGCTGATAAAACTGGATACATGTGTAGAAGAATGAAATTGGATCCCTACCTCTCACCAAATAGAAAAACCAACTCAAGATGTGTCAAAAACCTTAACATAAGACCTGAAACTATGAAATTCCTAGAAGAAAATATAAGAGAACATTCTAAGACACTGGTTTATATAAAATTGGATTATATAAAACTCACAATGCTTTTGCACAGCAAAGGAAACAATCAATAAAATCAGAGAAAATATTTGCAAGCTACTTAACCAAGAAATGATTAATATTCAGAATATATCAGGAACTCAAAAAACTCAACAACAACAACAAAATCTAGTTAGGAAATGGGGAAAGGACCTGAATAGATGATTGTCAAAAGAAATACAAGTGGCAAAATGCTCACTATCCCTAGCCTTCAGGGAAATGCAAATCAAAACAATGAGATATTAATGGCTATTATAAAAAAGACAGAAACCGACAAACGCTGGTGGGGGTGCAGAGCAAGGGGAATTCCTACACACTGTTGGTGTGAATGGAAATTAGTAGAACTGCTATGGAAAACAGTATGGACATCTCTTTAAAAACTAGAAATGCTATTGCCATATGATCGATCTAGTAATGCTACTTCTGACTATATACCCAAAAGAACTGAAAACAAAATCCTAGAGATAACTGCACACCTATGTTCACTGCAGCATTATTCACAACAGTCAAAAGGTGATGGCAGCCCTAACGTCCACAGACAGATGAACAGATAAAGAAAATGTGACACACATATCAATAGATTATTATTCAGCCATAAAAAAAAAAAGAAGGAAATCCTGGCACACACTACAACATGGAAAAACCTTGAAGATAATATGCCAAGTGAAATAAGACAGTCACAAAAGGACAAATACTGCATGATTCCACATATATGAGATATTTACAGCATCAAAATCATGGAAACAGAAATTAGTATTTTTGTCAGGACTGGTAGAATGGGAAAACTAAGAACTCTGTTCTAGGGATAGAGTTTCCATTTTATAAGATGAAATGTTTTAGAGGTCTGTTTATACAACAATGCGAATATACATAACAAACTGTATACTACCAAACTGTATACTTAAAAATGACTAAGAGAATAATTTTATATTATGATTTTTAAACCATAATTTTTAAATATTTATGGATAAAAGAAAGAACCACTCTTCTACAAGTTAAAAGTAGTTATACTCAGAAATTCATTAATTTTGCTTTTAATAAATCAAGCATTAAGTAACTAAAGTGTACATATCTAAATAGCATGTTATCTCACCTGTAACTCTTGTGATTTACGAGCTTGTTCCTGCTTGATACTGTTAACCATACTTTCTTTCACCTCATCCAATATAGTGTATAAACTATCAAATTCTTCATCTAATTCTGAAAGTATGTTAGAAGAATTTTCCTGTTTAAAAAACAGAATAGTAATTTTACTGAAAATCTGTCAAACATTAAAAACTAAAAGACATATTTAAAGGAGAGGATATATTTACATTATAAACTATCTTAGATTTTAGAATGAGATAAACGCAAGAAGTTAGCTACCGATGCTATAGTACATCAGCTACACAATGAGTTACACTGCCTTTTATAGACTGGCCCATATTCTCTTCACGTTTTGTAATACTGTTTCCACAGGACAAGATGAAAAGTTGATTTAAAGCTCCCAACTCTGTCCAGACCTTCACATTCTAAGACAGACCTAAATCAGAGGTTCTTCACTTTTGGTATTTATCAGAATCTGTGTGGAAGCATTTTAATAAAATATTCCAGAGATTTTAATTCAGTAATTCTCAGAGAGAGTTTGGGCATACAGTGAGGGTTTGATTTTGTGTAAATTTTAAAATCATGCAGGTACTCCAAAACACTGCCATTGATACAAGCTACACAAAGCTTAAATGACTAAGCAATTTCTTACTGGTCCTAAGAGATTTATCAGTCACTTAATTTTATTGCTAGGAGGAACAACAGACATCATCTAATGACTAGAATTTGCAGTCAAATTCCTACATTTACAGACAAAAATACAGCTGATTTGCTCAAAGCCATGTAACTAGTTACTAGCAGTATAGCCAATAAGGCATTCCAAATCTCTTGACTTCCCAGAGTTCCCCATTGCTTCATTATGTGGGAAGCTGCTATTTCAACAAGAAATAAAATACTTGTGTCATCCCTAATAAGCATTATTCACACTTCAATTAATTATGAGTTTAAAAAAAAAGTTCTTAAGTAATTTTTCAATTCAGATAATCATTCAATTAAGAGAAGCAAACTGCCGGCGCCGCGGCTCACTAGGCTAATCCTCCACCTTGCGGCGCCGGCACACCGGGTTCTAGTCCCGGCCGGGGCGCCGGATTCTGTCCCGGTTGCCCCTCTTCCAGGCCAGCTCTCTGCTGTGGCCAGGGAGTGCAGTGGAGGATGGCCCAAGTGCTTGGGCCCTGCACCCCATGGGAGACCAGGAGAAGTACCTGGCTCCTGCCATCGGATCAGTGCAGTGCATCGGCTGCAGCGCGCCAGCCGCAGCGGCCCTTGGAGGGTGAACCAACGGCAAAGGAAGACCTTTCTCTCTGTCTGTCTCTCTCTCACTGTCCACTCTGTCAAAAAAAAAAAAAAAAAAGAGAGAGAGAGAGAAGCAAACTGACACTGGTTAAGAGAATACATGTTTATAAACCACTGGAGTTAACAAAAAAGGGTGTTAACCATTTTCCTAATTTACAAAGGTAACAACAATTTGTGGAAGGAGTGTATACCCTGGAGGACAGAAGACCTAACTCAAATCTCATGTTAGCCTCTCAGTTCACAGACTGACCTTGTGCTTAAATTCCTGCACCTCAGTTTATCCATCCACAAAAAGGAACTGGACCGCTCTTCCCCTCTCAATCACCTGTTGGCACACTTTTACTGTCTCTTGCCTACTTCCCCTCACGCCCCATCTTCAGTGACAAAGATACAGTTTAATTCTCTCCTTTTATTTTCCTGGAGACCAAAGTAGAATTCCAATGGTTTGTCAATCAAAATAATAATTTGAGCTAGCTCTATCTTAAGGTCCCTTTTTCCAGATGTCAAATGTGGTGATTCTCTTTAGCATACAACAAAAGTTTCAGAACCACTAGCTCTTGGCTTATTTAAAGAAAATGGATTCACAAAATTTCCAATTAGATAGTTTGAGAAAAATAATTAAAATGGTAAAGATCATAAACAACTAACTTTTTTTTTTTTTGACAGAGTGGACAGTGAGAGAGAGACAGACAGAGAGAAAGGTCTTCCTTTGCCGTTGGTTCACCCTCCAAGGGCCGCTGCGGCTGGCGCGCTGCAGCCGATGCACCGCGCTGATCCGATGGCAGGAGCCAGGTACTTCTCCTGGTCTCCCATGGGGTGCAGGGCCCAAGCACTTGGGCCATCCTCCACTGCACTCCCTGGCCACAGCAGAGAGCTGGCCTGGAAGAGGGGCAACCGGGACAGAATCCGGCGCCCCGGCCGGGACTAGAACCCGGTGTGCCGGCGCCGCAAGGTGGAGGATTAGCCTAGTGAGCCGCGGCGCCGGTCAACAACTAACTTTAATTACAGAAAATTCAGAAATAAAGGACATATAAAAACTATGAAGTTTAACAGGTCAAGAAGCTGATAGCTGCCTAGATTAATATAAACAAAAAGCACTTCTCTTGTTATATAATAGGAACGGATTCACTATCTATCTGTCTATAAATTGTCTATGCTTATTTCACAAAGAAATGACCCTTACATTCACCAAGACACACTCATGGGAAAACAATATCAGATTATCTTTCCAATATTTTATTCTTACTTTTAATTGACAAATAATAACTATATATATATATATGGAGTACAATGTGATTTTTGATATGTAGAAAGATTAAATCAAGTTAATTAACATAACCATCACCTAACCTATTTATTTTGTATGTGGTGAGAGCATTTAAAATCTATTGCTAGCAATTCAAAAATACATTAACAACGGTCATTATGCTGTGCAATCAGTCTATAGAACTTACCCCTACATGGAATTTTGTACCCTTTGACTTACATATCCTTCCCCCTACAAAATTCTCTACTCAATTTAACTACCATCTACTCACTGCTTCTATGAGTTCAACAGTTTTTAATTTCATGTATAAGTGAGATCATGCAGTAGTTACCTTTCTGTGCCTGGCTATTTTTTTAACATAAGGTCCTCCAGGTTCATCCACATTGCTGGAAATGACAGAATTTCCTTCTGTATAAAGGCTGTATAATATTCCACTGTATATATGAAGAGTTTTCAAAAGTTTCATGGAAAATACACATTATATAAACACTATGCATGGATTTAAAATCTTTTGTACCAAAATAAATTTGTCTTTGAATTGCATTTTCCACAATATTTTTGAAGTACCCTCATATAAACAGTACATATTATGTGTCCACTCTCGCCTTGAATGGGCACGTAGGTTGTTTCCCTATCTTGGCTATTGTGAACAGTGCTGCAGTGAACATGGGAGTGCAGCTATCTCTTCACTATATAGACCTCAATTCCTTCGGATATATACTTAGAAGGAGAACTGTTGGATCATATGGTATTTAAAATTCTATTTAAATTTTTTGAGGTACCTCCATACTGTTTCACAAAGTACTTGCAGCATTTTACATTCCCACCTATGGTGCACAAGGGTTTCCTTTTCTCCACATTTTCATCAACACAAATCTTTCTTCTTTTTGATTACAGCAATTCTAACAAGTGTGAAATGATATATCATTGTGATTTTTTTTTTGGACAGGCAGAGTTAGTGAGAGGGAGAGACAGAGAGAAAGGTCTTCCTTTTTCCGTTGATTCACCCCTCAAGTGGCTGCTATGGCCAGCGTGTTGCAGCCGGCACGCTGCACCAATCCAAAGCCAGGAGCCAGGTGCTTCTCCTGGTCTCCCATGCGGGTACAGGGCCCAAGGACCTGGGCCATCCTCCACTGCACTCCTGGGCCACAGCAGAGAGCTGGCCTGGAAGAGGAGCAACCGGGACAGAATCTGGCACCCCGACCAGGACTAGAACCCGGTGTGTGCCAGCGCCGCAGGCGGAGGATTAACCTAGTGAGCCAGGGCGCCAGCCTTATCATTGTGATTTTAAACTATAGTTCCCTATTAGAGATGTTGAGCATTTTTGCCATATCAGTTGGCCATTCAAATGTCTTTTTATGGTGAATGTCTGTTCAGGTCTTTTACACACTTTTTTAATTATCTGTTTTCTTGTCCTTGAGTTGAATTCCTTATATATTTTGGATATTAGTTTCTTATCAGGTATATGGTTTGCAAGTAATTTATCCCTGTCCATGGATTGTTTCTTCACTCTGTTGTTTGCCGCCTTTACTAGTCACAATATTTTTTTAGTCTGATGCAATCTCATTTGTCTAGTTTTGTTTTCTGGAGTCCTAGCTCTGAAGCTTTTCCCTTAAGTTTTCTTCTAATACTTATACAGTTTCAAGGTGTAAAAGTAAATATTTGATTCATTTTGAGTTACTTTTTTTAATATGGCAAGAGAGAGAGGTCTAGTTTCATTCTGCATATGGATATCCAGTTTCCCCAACATCTTTTATAGAAGATACTGTCGTTTCACCAAGGTATGTTCTAGTACCTGGGTTGAAAATAAAATGGCTGTAGGTGTGCAAATTTATTTTTGGAATCTCTATTCTGTGCCAGTCAACGTTTTTTTTTTTTAATTTTTTTAAAAAAGATTTATTTATTTATTTGAAAGGCGGAGTTACAGAGAAGCAGAGGCCAAGAAAGAGACGTCTTCCATCCACTGGCTCATTCCCCAGATGGCCGCAATGGCTAGAGCTGCGCCAATCCAAAGCCAGGAAGCAGGAGCTTCTTCTGGGTCTCTCATGCAGGTACAGGGGCCCAAGGACTTGAGCCATATTACACTGCTTTCCCAGGCCATAGCTGGTAGCTGGATCAGAAGAGCAGCTGGGTCTCAAACCGGCGCCCATATGGGAATGTCAGAACTCCAGGCAGCAGCTTTACCCAATACGCCACAGGGCCGGCCCCAATATGCTTGTTTTTATGCCAGTACCATGTCCTATTAATTGAAGTAGCTTCATAATATATTTGACATCAGGAAATGTGATGCCTTCAGCTTTGCTCCTTTTGCTCAAGATTCTTTTAGCTATTGGGGATCTCTTGTTGGTCCATACAGGTTTTAGAGTTATTTTTGTATTTACACAAAAAATGATATTGGAATTCTGATAGGAATTGCACTGAAATTTATACACTGCTTTGGGTAGTATGGACATTTTAACAATATTTATTCTAATCCATGAACATGAGATATATTTCCATTTGTTATGTCTTCTTCAATTTCTTTCATCAATGCTTTGTTTCAACATATATGTCTTTAACTTCTTAAATGTGTATGTGTATGTATGTGTGTATGCGATAGGATATGAAATTATTTCCCTAATTTTTTAAATGGTTCATTTTCATGTACAGAATGTTACTGACTTTTGTGTGGTTCTGTATCTTGCCACTTTACTGAATTCATTTATCAGTTCTAACAGGATTTTGGTAGGGGCTGTAAGGGTTTTCTATACATAAAATCATGTCATCTGCAGACAATTTCATCTCTTCCTTTTCTATATGATTATCTTTAATTTCTTTTCTTGCCTAATTGCTCTGGGACAGAAATGGCAAGAGTGAGCATCCTTGACTTCCTTCTGATTTGAGAAGAAAAACTTTCAACTTTCACACTGAGTACAACGTGAGCTGTGGGTTTTTCATGTGTGGCTTTTTTGTGTTGAGACACATTTCTTCTATTTCTTATTTTTGAGAGTTTTAATAGTGAAAGGATACTGAATTTCATCAAATCCTTTTCTGCATCTGAGATGATCATGTGACATTCATTCGGTTAACATAGTATATCACATTTTTTTCATTACATATGTTGAACTGTCCTTGAATGCTAGAGATAAATCCCACTTGATCATAGTAAACGATCTATTTAACATTCTGTTCTATTCATTTGGATAGTATTTTCTTGAGGATTTTGCATCTATGTTTATCAGCAAAACAGGCCTATATTTGTCTCTTCTTGTAGTGCCCTGCTCTGGCTCTTCAAGTTTTTGGAAGAGTGTGAGAAGGACTGGTATTAATTCTTTAAATGTTTGACAGAACTCAGCAGTGAAGCCATCAAGTCCTAGGCTTTTCTTTGATGGGAAACTTTTTATTAGTGATTCAATTTGATTTCTTTTCTCATTCTTGGTCTGTTCAGTATTAGTAGATTGTATGCTTCTAGGAAATCATCAGATGATCTTGAGCTGCCTTCCAAAACAACATTTAATTACTTACAGTATGGATTATCTGCCTGAACTTGCAACCATTTCCTTGAGTATTTCTCTCCTTCCTCACTGGGCACTTTTATCTTTGAGTTTTATGTTTTATTTTCATCTACTTTTGTAAGTAGACCTTTTACCATCTACATTTTCCTTTCACTATTTACTGTAACAGAAGCTTTTTATTTCCCAGTACTTTTGAAAGGATACAATTTTCTCTCAATCAAAATTAGAAAAGAAAAACATCAAATGGACAAAAATGAGTACTGTAATAGTCTCTACAATTTCAGCCTTTTCCTTCTTCCTTTCCATTTCACTTTTCCAGTGAGAAGTAGGGAATAGCAAAGGAAGCATTTTTACTTTATTTACCATTTTAAAACCCTACTCTCACCTCCATCAATTTATAACTTAGAGTTAATGAAGTATATTCACACTTTGTATCTGACTCAACAATTTTATACAAATTTTTAAGAAAAAAAGGTTCATACCTGAACTCCTTTTAGTGTATGATTTAGAGTATCAATAAAATTCTGTATTTCATCATTTTTATTTGCCAGAGTTGAAATGATCCTTTGCAGAGCTTCCTAAGATTTAAAATAGCAATAAAAGGGAGTTACAAACCTCAAAAGAATCATTGTCTAAACAAATTTTTATTATGTAAGAGTATACTGAATAATAAGTTACAGTAATATAAAGCTTCTTGTTCAAATTTGCAAAGGTCTATGATTACAAAAGACAAGATAGGCATTTCTACTGTTTCAAATCCTCTTACTCCCACTATACAACTTAATCACTATAATAATCTCATACTGGAAATAAACTTTAAAATAATCAGTATTATTTAATAGCAATAGGTCATAAAGTCATGGCAATAGAATAGCATCAAATCCTTAAATATTACAAAAATAATGGGAACTTTTAATATAGCATCAGAATACAGGCAAGAAAATAAGGAGACACTGAAATTCATTTTATTTATAAAAATTAAAAATATATTTAAGTGTTTTAGTTTAGTTACAATAAACTAAGCTGTAAAAAGGAGATCAGCGGACCTAAGAAAGATGAGTTTTCCAAACACACATCCAAGATAGGTTTTATATGTATTTAACAGCCACATAATGGTGGTTAAAAAAAAAAAGTTCTGTACAACTTGAAGACTGTTTATGGTAGCCTTCACTTAGTAATATTTGGCTCTTTCTGTTTAATGGGCTATATCTGCATTCCTCTTCTACTCCTACTAATGGCTGGGTCACAACCTTACCATACAGATAAGAAAATGGAGATTCAACAGTTGCCCACAGTGGCACCGCTATTAAGTGTCATGCTCAGTGTCTCTCCAAAGTCCACACCCTTAACCACTTTAACACTCTAAATGCAATCAATCAGCCACATCTGGCAGACCCATACAACAGATATATATTCTTTAAACATTTAGTTTGCCAACATTTTTCAGTGACATAGAAAATGTCATGTAGAGAATCATAGCTTGAGCTTAAGCTCTGTCTGCTGTTAGGCACATTCAGTGAACTTCTGGGTAAAAATTGTAATATTTTACCAGAGGATTAAGGGGACCTTCTGAAAGATATCTTATTCGATAAAAAAAGGATCGAGTTCAAAAACAGAATTTCAATCATCATAATATATGTGAGTTCAACAAAAATTGAAGAAAATTTCACACACACAAAAAAAACCTGAAACACTAGTATACAAAAATGGCAGATTTAGTTCACAACCAAAAAAAAAAAATCTCCCTAGCACAAAATTGCTTTCCACATTTTTCTATGTTTGTTGGCCTAACTTTAGTAGAAAACTTTGTATTCAAGGACTTCTGTAACAAAAACTCTGGAGATAACTCTAACACGTTGCCCCAGCTAGGTAAAGCTCTGAGTTCCAAAGAGTTTAATGAGAATTCTACCTTTTTAAAACTTATGTTACTTACTGAATTTAGTTAAAGACATGTAAACACTCTAATTTTTATCAGGTCTTCCAGCTAATCCTCTGTATCTTCAAGAGCTACCTACCTGCTCAAAGTCAATTGCCTCTGGTCTAACAGTGATGTTAGAAGTCAGAATACAGCCTTTACCAACTGCAGTGTTTTCCTTCTCCTTAGAGTAGCACTGTCCAATAGACATATACTATGAGCCAATAGTAGGTACATCAAAAAAAAGTAAAAGAGAAATAGGTGACATTAATTTTACTGTTTTATTTAACCTAATAAATCCAAAACATGACTTCATATTAATTTAATAATTTAATAATTATCGAGTTACTATTGGGAGGTGAGGGGTGCTAAGTCTTCAAACTCCAGTTACACTTAACAGCCTATCTCAATTCAAATTAGTTATATTTCAAGTGCTCAAAATCCACTTATGCCTAGGAGCTACCATACTAGACAATAGAATTAAAGGACTGTATTCATTCAGTCTATAAATGTCTAACAGTCGAGGTAAAGAAGATATTCTCTACTGATCTTATTCATTTGAAGTTAAAAACAAGCAAACTAAAAGATTTCTGAACTTTTTTCTTGGATGACCAGAATTTCTTAATGTGCTTATGTTACATCAAATTCTTAAATGACAATAGCTATATGCAAATATAAGTTAAAATGCTACAACCAAGTTCCTTTATCAGAATTTCATTAATTTCTCAGTTGTTATTTATATAAATATTGCCTTTTAAAAAAATTTATTTATTTATTTGAAAGTCAGAGTTACACAGAGAGAGAAGGAAAGGCACAGAAAGAGGGGTCTTCCATCCGCTTGTTCACTCCTCTGATGGTTGCAACAGCCAGGGCTGAGCCAATCCAAAGCCAAGAGACAGGAGCTTCTTCTTGGTCTTCCACACGGGTACAAGGGCCCAAAGTATTTGTGCCATCTTAGACTGTTTTCCAAGGCCATAGCAGAAAGCTAAATCAGAAGTGGAGCAGCTGGGACTTGAACCAGTGTCCATATGGGATGCCAGCACTGCAGGTGGTGGCTTTACCCACTACGCCACAGTGCCGGCCCATAAATATTGCCTTTTTTTAAATAGAAAACTTTTATTTAATAAATATAATATAAATTTTGAAAATACAGCTTTTGGATTATAGCAGTCCTTCTCCCCGTAACCACCCTCCCACCTGCAAACCAACCCATCTCCTACTCCCTCTCCCATCCCATTCTTCATTAAGATTCATTTTTAATTATCTTTAAATACAGAAGTCTGCAAATACTAGCTGATAGAATAAAAAAGGGAGAGAACGATCCAACATGGGAAGTGAGATACACAGCAGACCCATAGAATGGCAGATGTCCTAAACAGCACTCTGGCCTCAGAATCAGCCCTTAAGGCATGCGGATCCGGCTGAAAAGCCCATGAGAGTATTTCAGGCATGGAAAGCCAAGACACTCTGGGGGAGAAAAAAAAGTGACCTAAATGAAAGATCTCCACGAGTGAGATCCCAGTGGAAAGAATGGGTCATCAAAGAAGGAGGTACCTTTCTCTGAAGGGAGGAGAGAACTTCCACTTTGACTATGGCCTTGTCTAAATACGATCAGAGTCGGTGAACTCAAAAGGCTTCCATAGCCTTGGCAGCTCATGACAAGAGCCTAGGGTGATTACTGAGGCCATAAACAAGAGTGTCAATTTGTTAAGTCAACAACAGGAGTCACTGTGCACTTACTCCTCATGTAGGATCTTTGTCCTTAGTGTGCTGTACATGGAGATTTAATGCTATAACTAGTACTCAAACAGTATTTTTCACTTTATGTTTCTGTGTGGGAGCAAACTGTTGAAATCTTTACTCAATGTATGCTAAACTGATCTTCTGTATATAAAGAGAATCGAAAATGAATCTTGATGTGAATGGAAGGGGAGAGGGAGTGGGAAAGGGGAGGGTTGCGGGTGGGAGGGATGTTATGGGGGGGAAGCCATCGAATATAAATTTCCAAAGCTGTACTTTGGAAATTTATATTCATTAAATAAAAGTTAAAAAAAAATCAACTGTGGTTGTGAAGTCACAAAAATCACTGCTCACTGATGATTTTGGTTAGAGAAGACATTCTGGGGATCACAGAATGCCAACATACATATAGAGGTTGACAGCTGACAAAAACAAAACCATATAAGTACAGCTAACATGTAAATTATATAAACGCAAAGAACATTCAGGATAATGTTATCCATTCTGCATGGTATTGTCCCATACCTCCAAAAAATTACACCCTTAGGTTACATTAATCTTTACCATCGTCTTTTAATTCATTTAAAATTCTGCTATTATCATAAAACAAAAGAACCTTTCTAATTTGTATTGACCAAAGAAGTTTTAGTAGCAATATTTCTTTTTTTTTTTTAAAGACTTATTTTATTTACTTGAAAGGCAAGAACCAGAAAGAGAGAGTCAGGCACAGAGAAATATCTTCCATTAGTTGGTTCACTCCCTAAATGCCTTCAACCACTGTGGCTGGGCCAGGCCAGACCTAACCCAGGATCCAGAAATTTCAGCTGGGTCTTCCACATGGGTGTCAGGGGTCCAAGCACTGGGGCCATCTTCTAGTGCTTTCCCAAGCACATGAGCAGAGATTTGGATAGGAAGTAAAGCAGGTGGGACTCAAACCCAGGTTCATATAGGATGCCAATATAACAAGCAGTGGCTCAACCTGCTGTATACAACACTAGCCCCAGTAGCAATATTTCTAAAAAGAAATCCTGTAATGTGCATATTGAAGTATTTGAGGGAATGATATTCTATATGCACTGCCTAAGGCTTTAAAAATACTATACCTCTCCAGAAAGTAGTTGGGAAAACAAAGGTCTCTCAAAACCAATATAGTATTTTTTAAAAACATGGATTCATTATTTGAAGAGAGAACATTCATGTTTAATTTTAACTGGGGGTTCCAATAAAGTACGAGGCCTACCAAGCATACCTAAAAGGGCCCAAATACTGAAAAAAAAGATGCTTTACCTTATTGTAAAGCTACAAAGACTAATGGCCTAGAGGATTTTTCAGGAAATACATTGCAACTCTAGGTAAGAAAAACATTGGAGTCTTGACTATAATGCAACAGATCTTCAAAAAGTCTGTAGAAAACATGTAATATAGGGGCCAGCGCTGTGGCCTAGTGGGTGAAGCTGCTGCCTGAAGTGCCAGCATCCCATGTGGGTGCAAGTTCAAGTCCTTGGACCCTTGCATCCACATGGGAGACCAGGAGAAGGCTCCTGGCTCCTGGCTTCGGATCAGGGCAGCTCTGGCCACTGTGGCCATCTGGGGAGTGAACCAGTAGATGAAAAACCCCTCTCCCTCTCTCTCTCTCTCTCTCTTTGCCTCTGCCTCTCTCTAACTCTGCCTTTTAAATAAATAATCTTTTAAAAAGAAAAAAGAGAAAGAAAATGTATACTATAGAAAAGCTATTCATAGATTTCAAAATTTCTTGCACCAAAATAAACATCTTTTAACCCTATTTTTCTCTGAACTTTTTGAAATACCTTTGTACACCACTGAAATACCATGAGAACAGACAATCCAGCTGTGGAAGGCTTTAGAGCCCTAGCATTGAAGGTCACCTACAAGCTAACAAACATGGCCGGCGCTGCGGCTCAATAGGCTAATCCTCCGCCTTGCGGCACCGGCACACCAGGTTCTAGTCCCAGTCGGGGCACTGGATTCTGTCCCGGTTGCCCCTCTTCCAGGCCAGCTCTCTGCTGTGGCCAAGGAGTGCAGTGGAGGATGGCCCAAGTGCTTGGGCCCTGCACCCCATGGGAGACCAGGAGAAGTACCTGGCTCCTGCCATCGGATCAGCGCGGTGCGCCAGCTGCAGCGCGCCAGCTGCGGCGGCCATTGGAGGGTGAACCAACGGCAAAGGAAGACCTTTCTCTCTGTCTCTCTCTCTCTCACTGTCCACTCTGCCTGTTAAAACACACACACACACACACACACACACACATTACAAACCTGGCTGCTGAAGAAAGCAACTACCCAGATCACTAAGAATCAGAAACCCAAAGCAAACAATGTGACCCTGAAGCCAATGCAGATAAAGTGCTTTTCTTTTTTTAAAAAAAAAGATTTATTTGTTTATTTGAAAGGCAGAGTGACAGAGAGAGAGAAGGAAAGACAGAGAAAGATCTTCCATCCACTGGTTCACCCCCAAAATAGCTGCAATGGCCAGGTCTGGGCCAGGCCAGGCTGAAGCCAGGAACCAGGAGCCACGAGCTTCTTCTTGGTCTCCAACTGGGGCCCCAGGGACTTGGGCCACCATCCACTGTTTTCCCAGGAGCATTAGCAAGGGGTTAGATGAGAAGTGCAGCAGCCAGGACTTGAACCAGCACCCATATGGGATGCCTACACTGCAGGCCATAGCTTAAGCCGCTGCTCCACAGCGCCAGCCCTGATAAAGTGCTTTTCTCAGCTTAACGATGCAAAAGGGCAGAGTCCTCTAAGGTCCCCAAGACCAGTATGCTGAGACAGGACTCCAGAAGCTCAGAATTTACTTAAATTGTTGTGGAGAGGACAAGCAACTGCAATCAAGAGCTCATATTTAGTATTCTAAAATAGTGAAAGTTTGAGGGTGGGGACACTGAGAAATAAATTATGAAGAGGACTACAGTTTCAACCATTATGGCCCTCACAAGGATAGGGAATGGTCATACATAGGGCAGCAATGGCATGAAGATACAAGTAATTAAAGAACTTGGAGCTCAGTGGAATTGGAAAGCAAATTACAAATAAAATATCTCTAAGACAAACTATCACCAACACCAAAGCATACAAAAATGAAAGGATTAGGAATACAGGAGCTAGGTCTGAAATTTAACCCTGGTTTGCAGATGAGACATGAAGATGCTTTCTCTAAGACTGTAGGAATCCAGGGAGAGTTTTATATAGTGACAACAGGAGGCATGCAAGGGCACATTAGTTGAATAGATATCAATCTAGCAGGTTTTTAAAAGTGTTTTCAAGTATGGCAGGCAACATACCAGAATAGATCTCTTCATATTTTGTATTCAGAAACAGAATAAAACAGAATTAAAATATACAGTAATACAATGAGTTTTCTACCTCACTCTGTTACTCCAGGGCCTCTAAATTTAAGCAATAGCTTTTATAACTGAAACCCAAGTAATTAATACAGTTGATAAAGAGATCTCAATG